AGTTGTCCACTCTTGCCTCAAGAGTTTATAAGGTCTTCCTCGAGGGGATACTTTTCCTTGGAGCTCAACAGCAGCTGTCTCCAGAGGCTGTGTTTTGCTCCTTTTCCAATCCCTTTGTTGATGCCACAATCCTTTGTGAGGGATCCCAGCTGCTGGGCTTCCTTGCTCTCCAATTCCTGACTGTTGGCTACAGTATCCCAACATTGCAGCAGCCAGCTGGTAATTAGCTCACCAGGCTGATGGCTATAATCTTTGTGTGTATCTTGAAGCTTACTCAGGGATAAGGAGCTGGTGATTTCTGGCTTGTTCATGATTTCTCTTTTGCCTCCTGTTCTTGCGACTGTTCTGCTGCACAGCTGGCTGCCTCTCCAATCCTCCTCCTGCTCCCTCTTGGGAGAAGCTTCCTTCCTGACTGAACAAACTGACTTCTGCCTCCATTGTTTCTTCTTGACTACAGGGACAACTGATACAGTTGAGAGTTGGGTCTCTGGCTTAACCATGTGCCTGTTTGTATGTCTTCAGACACAGAGACTGCCTCTAAGGGTGCTGAACAGTTCTTAGCAGGCTTAGGCCAAGCCCAGCACAGTGTGAGAAGTTGTGTCTCTTTAGCTAGCCAGGGCATCCTTTTTTCAAATGTTCTGTCATGTTATCAGGATCCTGCACTTGTTTGGGGGTCAAGTCCTACATTGTCAGAGAGAAAAACTGATCTAGATACCTTGCCACCCACAACCACGTGGCCTCAGGACACTCCTAAATATTCAGTTAATCCTACGAAAAGCTGGCTACAGATCCTTGAGACACATTGATGTGAGCATTCTGATTACCCAGGGGCATTCAAAATACTGGAGAGCCATTGCAACAAGGTGGAAAACAACTACCCCGTAGGAAGTGAAGGGGAGGGTGCCATTCTTTGTTTCCTCCACAAACTGTCTCTCAGATGAAAAGAGAGAAAAGGTGTAATTGTTAATTATCTCCACGAGATGGTTCCCAAAGTACTGGGACAGCAGCAATGCAGAGCCCAAATACCAGATTAGGCTCAGGGCCAGTGCTTTCATCAGTTCTCCAAGGCAAAACAGAACTGAGTGCCACACAGCACAGCAAACTGCAGAAGACAAACCCAGTCTTCAACAAGCTCTCAAATTGTCAAGCTCACTCTTGAGCATGACAAGGAGTGGGTAAGGAAACAAACTTGCATTGAGAATGAGTAAGTCAACATCATGACCAGCAATAGCTAAACAGGTATATTAAGTTCCCTCTAGCACAGTCCAGTCAAATGTCATTATCTTGAGCCCTACATGTCCCATCCTGGGTACCAAAAAGGACTGTGGTGGCTGGCAGCTAAGCATCTCACAGCTGCTCACTCACTGCGCCCCACAGTGGAGTGCACTATATGTTTTAGTTCTGTATAGTCAAAGAATGGATAAAGTCCCTTACGGAGGTATTTTCTGGGATGAGATGAAGCACATCTGGTGTTAGGCACACCTAACCAAGTTAAGATTTTGCACATCCCACCCTCTGTGCCCAGCACAGAGGAACAGCAAGCAGCATTCCTCTCCTTCCAACTGAGGGAAGATGGAGGTTAGAATGCAACTTGCTTCTTTACTAAAATCCTGAATGTGCAAAACCATTCAAAGAGTGTTTAAAAGCAGGTAAGGGGACCTGGAGACTGAAAAGAGATGCTTTTAATAACGTAAGGCACTTTTAGTAGACTGTATCCCTTTGGTATTTGCTAGCGCTTCAGCTCAGCGAGCACGGGTGGGGGCAAGGAGACTCTCAGAGCAGAAGAGAGTGAGCTTTGTACTGAACTGCTGCTGTTCCTTGAGCAGTTTGAAGCTAATAAAGGTAGCTTTTGACCTTCCTGAAGGTCAAAAATATTATGGGAAACTGAAATTGATGCCACCAATAAAAGACACATTTTTAGTAGATACTTCTGAAAATCCATAACCATTAACGGATCGGGAAGTGTCTCCAGACTCATCTCCAGAGCAGGGCAACAGTTAGAAAATTTGTGGGTTGAGTTAAAGACAGTTTAATAGATAAAAGGGAAAAAAATGAAATCAAAACAACAAAAAACAAGCGATACAAAGCAATCACCACCAGCTGACTGATGTGCCAACAGTCCCCAGGCAACAGAGCCCCTGGAACATCCCAAACACCCCATCCCCAGTTTTTACTGCTGAGCATGATCTTATACGGTGCAGACTACCTCAGAGGTCAGTTGAGGTCAGCTGTCCCAGCTGTGCCCCCTCCCTGCCCCTGACCCACAACCAACCCCCTCACTGGGTGTCAGAGTGAGGAGCAGAAAAAGCCAGTGCAACCACTGCTGAGCAATAGCTAAAGCATCAGCAGGCTGGCAATGCTGTTTGAGCTACACGTCCAAAACATGCACTGTAGAGGATGCTACAAAGAAAATTAAATCCATCACAGTAAGACCCAGTACACTGGGCTAGTTTTTAATTTAGTCTGGTCTAAAAAGCAGTTGGGACCTTGTCCTGTATTTTGTGCATCAGTGGAATGGTCCAGCAATTCCATACTTGGGATGAATTCAGAGAAGCAGCCAACAAGTATGTCTGCTTGAGTAGCTGGTTGAGTGAAGTGAATGGTTTGAATGCCTTCCTCAGCTGCCCCTCAGACCACAGGTCTCTCCTTGACCGCCTTTTAGAGGTTGGTGGGGAAAAGGAATCAAGGGACAAAAATAAGACCAGAACAGCCCCAAAATTACACCATTGCTCAGAAATTATATTAGGTGTGAGGAGTATGTTAGTACACAGCAATAACTAATTCACTCAGTTTAACAGATGGCTATAATAGTTTGCTTGTAGTTTACCTGGAGGAAACAAGACAACAAAAATTCCTGAAGAATTATAGATAAATGTCTTAATTATAAAATTATTTAATAATATCGATAGGAGATAATTCACATTCTTTTTTTTTAAATTAAGGGTGAATCATATAAGAGCAATCAGAACATTCTGGTGATAAAAACACAAAAAAAAGAAAGTAATTAATTTTTAATTATTCCCCTTTATTGGTAACAACTATAAATAAAAACTTGTACTTTCATGAAAAAATAAACCAGTTGTACATGGGTTTGCAGTATGTTTGATGTTTCTTTCACAAAACTGAGGTGAGGTGACTCAGAATATCTCCAGCATATCCAAGCTTCTTGCAGCCCTAAGTCATTATGAACCAATTAACACAGATGTAAGACAAAGACAAGATCATGTATGGCTCTTACTATACATAATATGTAAAAACCAGAGACAAAGAAAACTGAAATATGACTCTGTTTGAATTTAGGTATTTATTTAAAGCATGTTTTATGTTAGCAGAACTTCAGGGAACTTCACAGGTAACTGCCTGGAATAATCCACGCTTCTCAGTGCTTCTCTTCTGTCTCCAGCCTTCCTGCTGTGGCAACAGCACCAGCTCATGGAGAAGTGCCAAAGTCTTGGGATGAGAGAAAATGAAGGTAAGAGAGGGCTGGTAAAAGAGGAAGTGTAAGCAAGAAGGGGTCTGGTGTTGAAGCCATTCTCCAGAACAAAGCGAGTCCTGAGTTCTGGATGTTGCTCCCAAACAGAGGTTGCGACTCAAGGTTGCTTATTATACATAAAATATTATGGTATAATGTGGGCAGAATGTACACAGAGTACATCATGTGGGATGTACTTTCAGTATACTTTTAGAGGATAGAGTTTTTATTTACATTTTGCATTGGGTGGAGTGCAACACTCCGGTCTATGACAAACAAGCTGTGTGACAAGGGGGAGTGAGTGCAGGGAGAAAAAGAAGGAGGAGAAATTTTAACAGAAATAACTCCACTTAGTGTTTGAGTGAGGGATGTAATGAAATCTGTTTGCTGTGCTAGCTGTCTCCAGATTGGGCTGTAATTACACCACAGAAGGAAGAAAGGTAGCTGAGTCTCAATCTATATCATTTATGTAAACTCAGCCTTCTTGTCAACGGCATTCTCAGATTGCACGTGTTCAAACCACAAAAATCATCTCCTATGTACAAAACAGAGACGGTCTCAAAGTGCAGGCTTCTGATACACCTTATATGCTGTCTGTAATTGGACTTGAAAATTCAACACACTGAGGTTCAAAACTTCTCCAATATTTTCTGCATTTTATTCAGTGCAGTGACTATCCACAGAGAAGCATTCCTGCTTTCTTTATGCCAAAGGATGATGTCTAGCCTTACAAATTAACATTTATTTGGCTTAAATTAACACAAGTGTCACAAACATAGGAAATCCTTTAGCGTAAGACGGTAGAAAAAAAAATTCTGGATCTGAAAGAGGGATATTCCCTCCCTCAGAAGAGTTGGAAAAACCTCATTCTTTGACCCAGAGCAACATATTACACAGGCACAGTATAAACCCCAGGCAATCAGTTCCCTTAACAGAGTCAAATTAATATTTGATTAAATATTTTAAAGCTCCTACTTACCATGCTTGACACATTTTCTCAGCAAGTTTCTCAAATACAAAAATCATTAGGCACAGGGTAATTTTATGTTTTAATACATAAAAACAGTGTGAGGAGACATGACTGCACACAGACAGAGAAAGGATTTTCCCCCATTAATCCTCCAATCTGCCCTTCTCCTTGGATAAGCGGGTATGTTAATTCCCAGCCTCAGCAGCTCACTCTCTCTGGGCAGGTTTAAACGAGTTTCTTGTGACACCTGGAGCTTCACGCCCTTCTATCCCTCCCTCCTTCCATCCCTCCCCTCTGGCAGGAAAACCACCGGCCTCCACCCTGGCGCCGTCCCCACCGGTACCCAATCAATACCAACTTATTTCCTGTCCATTTGCTGAGGTCACGAAAATGGGACTCATTAATTATTTCTACTGGTGCAGCCTCAAGTGCGCTTCTGGCACGACAAGCGAAAGCCTTTTGTGACCTTTTTTCTTTCTGCTCCCGAATTTTGCTGGTGGTGGTGGTGGCGGCAGCAGCCGGCACATTCCTCTGTCGGGATGGGACTGCTGCCGGCACATTCCTCTGTCGGGATGGGACGATGAGATGACCAGAGGTGTGAGGGGTTGTGAGGCATCGTCGGTCTCCCTGCCAGGTTGCTTCCACCTGTGGAGGGAGAGACGCTCCACCCGGAGCGGCAGGTCAGGGAAACCTGGTCACGGCGCAGACGATGTTGGCCAAGGCATCCCTGGCCTCGGAGGGAGGGAAATGCTCTAGCGCTGCCAGTGCTCTGTTTCCGTGGCAGCGGCAGAGGTCGATGGCAGAAGTCACACCTTTTCCAGCCTTGATCGCTTCCTGCAGCTGTCAGAAAACACAAGCACAATGGATAGGGGTGGTTCAGCAGTAGCAGCGCCAGCACGCACAACTATCTCTGGGAGTACAGGGCTTCCACCCCCCTTCCGAGGTAAAGGCAAAACCGAAGCCATCAGACAAAGCTCTTAAATCCTCTCAGCTGCTCTATTTGGCTCTCAACTACAGCTAAACTGTGCACAATTTAAACTACATCACCCATTACTTCATCACCTGAGAGATACTGGCTCTCCAAAGTGCACACTTAAATTAAAAAAAAAATTAAAGTTTTTAAATGTCTGGGAATTTCATACCTCAGCCACTGCCTGAGAGCTTTTGTTCAGAACTGGCAAACCAGCCGCTCATTCATACTCTTGTTTTCTGCAGTCAAAACCTGCATTTCATGAACACCCATCTTATCACCTGTTTTGGGAAACCAGCATAGGATGACACACGTTGAATGCGCATCTTTTGTAATACAAGTTTCTATTTATAGACCATGTGATTACATGTGTCAGAGTGGACAAAAGGAAATTGTGTCAGTAAAATGTGTTAAACTATCATACTGAGCTACATCCACGCAAACTCCTCCTTCTCACTAAGGCTATGGAATTTGACAAAGGCTTGGTGATGCACCATACGAGAAAAAAAATATTTTCATGGAATAACAGACATTTCAGGGCAAACTAGGTTAAATTTCTTATGAAATAACACAAAAATTACAAACAAAACATGTTTTTTTCCCAGTACCTTAGCAGAAGCTCTAAACAGCAAACACTCTTATTAAGGGCTTTTTTATTTTTAGTTATTATTTTTTCTTGAACAGCATCACGAGATGGCCACAAAACATGGTTACATTTTCCACTCTAAAATACAGGTGTTCCCAGACCAACTCTAGCCTGATGCCTCATGCCAGAGCCTGGGAATCAAGGCCAGGTGGATCTCTGGGATTTGATTATTCCAAAAGCATTAAAGCATTTCATGATCTTTAATGTGCCCCACCTGCCTTTCACAGCCATATTACTTCACTGTACCAGCTTTTAAAAGAGAGGCTTTTCTTGCACATAGGTATCTACAGTAACAAACTATACAAGGTTTTATAAGTCATGTTTTCCACCAATACAAAGCTCATTGCTTAGTTTAAAAATACACCAGTATGACCTTACCTATCTAATTAAAATCATGTAAAAATAAAAAAACCCTGAGATATGACCAAATGGAAAGTCACTGCTTTCTATACACACTTGCATTCACACAGAATGAATGACACTTCTTATCTGAATACAAACTGGAGTGGATTCATTATCTGTATTTAAAGATGAAATTAGCTGAAAGTATATTACAGCACTTGAGTGTTCAAGTCCCAGTTCATAAAAATTTTATTCTCACTTCAGTTAGAATCTTCCTGCACTGTGTGCTGGAAAGGAACTTGCCCTGAGGCGTAAATGCATTGCACAGCTAATTCCACATGTCTTCTAATGAATGAGAATCAGCCGCATATTCACGGCTCTGCAGCAAAGGTGGGGATAAGTGAGATGAGGCGTGCTAGCAGCGTGAAAAGGTGTCTCTTCCCCTTTCTTTGAGGCACAACCTTGCGAGATAGCAGAACCCACACATCTTGAAGCAAACTCTGCTGATTTGCTAAAGCTTATTAAAAAGGATTAGCACGCCTTCTAATACTCATGTAAGTATATATTGGGATGTAAACAGCAAAGAAAATAGCTCCTAGAAAGTCTTCAATTTGGTCAAAGGTCAGAGGAGCTTAGCTTAGGCATATGTATGATTGCACATATGTACCATGACTTAGTCAAAACAGCACAATCTAGAAAGGAGGAGAATCCTAACACAAGGACGCAATCCATTTACACGCTTGTCATGAGTAAGCCCTTAGAAACACATACTGCTTTGAAGCCAATACAATTGCAAAGCTCGTGTCAAACTATACTCAGAGGAATCACTATACAAAAAATCAGACTAATTCGCTATTGAATGTTTCCAAGCAAAGTTCAAGGAAGGTCAAAACAAAAAATACCTAATCCTATGGCAGCTCCTTCCTCAGCTTTTCAGTTAAAGATTATTGTATGAAATGAACGATTTACAGTCCTCAAAAATTTACCTGTTTTATATTCCATTTGCAGAAGTGGCTGGTCAACTCATATGAGCATACACAGAGGCAAAGCAGTCTGAACTAACCAGACTGCATGCTACCTCTATCCCAGCTGGCGTTGTAAAAGCAAAAAGGAAGTACAAATTTGGCATTTGGTAGTAGGATAGTTATTAGAGAAATACAGGAAATAACTCCATAGGAAAAAAAGCTTCAGTAGCTCTGCTATATGCAAAACCCCCCTAATTTAAGACTTTAGTTGTATTCTCCATTGCATTACAGTTACACTTTCAGACTCTCTCAAATTTTGACCTTCAATAGTTTTATGTAATGAACTTCACAAACTAAGAACATAGAATAAAAAAACAATGTATCCAGAATAGAGGTATTATTTTAAAACTTCATTTGGATAGAAGCAGCTGATTTCTGCAGCAAATACCCAGAAAAGCAAAATTAACTGCTTTTATTTGTTATTTTATAAACTTTAATTAAGCTGCTTCATTAATTTCTTTGAAATAAAGGAGTCTGTTCTTTTAGTCTCTACTTACACGGTATCATTTTGTGCATATTTCCACTCGTAGGAACAATTTAATCCATGCAACCTTCTTCAGAATGATATTCAGTAATTAAAACCAAATACAAGTCAAAATACAGATTGCTTAGCTATACTTTTCTCCTGTTGAACTGCGAGATATGCTGGAATACTCCATTCTTATTTGTAAGCTTTTGTTCAGACTATGGGCACTAGAGCCCTACTTTGTTCTAAAGGTGCTGAGACACCAAAAAAATAACCAACTGGTGATTAGTTATTTAAATTCAGCTTATAGAGTAGTCTTGCAATAGCACAGCCAAGTTTAAACTCAGATGAGAAGTGATCTCCTCCCCAGTATCTCAGCACAGTTTTCTTCAGCATCTTCTGTTTTCCTCAACACATTCAGATACTGACCAGGTTTGACAGTTTTGCCTCATACACATGAAGCTCAGAACCCAAAGTTTTACCTCTGAATGTTGTCCTATGACTCTAAGAACTAAAAAACCCAGCACCATCATAATCTTCAGTGTCTTAAGATAATGAAAAAAACCTGTGCTGCCTAGATCATACGATACATAAAATTGTAGTGGATTCACATTTCTGCTCCTACTTTGAAGCACTAATGTTTAGAAGTCTTTTATTAAGTATTTCTGCACATTCATAAGGGATATTCTGCATTTGGATTAAGAATCTTGATAGGGTCTACACAGCTTTTAGAGTCTACAGGTTTGTTACAAATATTAAAAAAGTAATTAAATGGTGATGTTGAAACTCAAAACAACTGCTAGTTTCACATAGGGTACATAAGTACATCCAAAAGAATCTGCCCCTTACCAGGCTTGACCACAGTCCACTAGATTCAAATCAATGACCAACACACACCACCACGCTATTTTTCTGGTGTTTTCAGCTACACTCCTTTTCCTTCACAGTTAGACACACTTTTTTTTTTCTTGAAGTAGTGTGTCCTTAAAGCAAAGATCATAAACCACTTCTCGGGCTGTTTTAGCAAGTGTATTCAGCAAGCAACTACTGCCCCTATTTGGGGCTGTTGGGACCGAGTCTGGAGTGCTGTGCCCAATTTTGGGCTTCCCATTGAGTGAAAGACATTGCCGCGCTACAGCAAGTGCAGTGGGAGGCTATCCAGATGATATGGGCCTGGAGCAGTACATGCTCTGCAAGAAAATGCTGGAATTGTTTAGTTCAGCTGTAAGAAGAGAAGGCTGTTACTACTGTCCCAACTACCTCATGCACCAGGAGCCAGAACTGGGCTCTTCTCAGAAGTGTACAAGGAAGGGATGAGAGGTAATGGGCACAGGTTGCAGCATGGAAAATGCTGATTAGACCCAAGGAAATTCTTTTCCATCAGGAGGGGGGTCAAGCACTGGAACAGGCTGTTCAGGTTGGCTGTGCAATCTCTGTCCTTGCAGATACTCAAAAGTTAACTGAGCAAACCCATATGGGCTCTGCTTTGAGCGAGGGGCTGGACCAGACAACCCTCAGAGGTCCCTTCAAACTTAGATTATTGTATGATTCTGTAAATAAAGTAGAGTTCAAAGTACTATGTTTCCCAGTCCATTTGTTTCAAAAAGGCAAAGAGATGATTTCTCATCCGTTCCACAGCAGTTAAGTATTTGCCTTTCAGACCAACTGCTCTGGATTGCTGTTGCACAGAACGGCTGGTCTGAGGGCAGCAAGAGGTCAAAGGGACAAGCTAAGAACTGCTGGATTTTGAAGACTGAAGAATTAAAGGAGTCAAAAACTAAGCAGGTGTTCAAGTACAAAGACAACTAATTTCAAATTCTCTCTGTTGAGACATTTCTGCCTCACTAGCCAAAGGAAAGAAGATTCCTTTCAGACAGTGCTACATGTAGGGAACAACAAATTGGGGGCAGAGAGATTGGTGAGTACTTTGGCTGTACTAGACTTTATGTGTAATAGGAGAATGAGAACACTGAAATTCCTAATTCTTTTTTGCAATAGTCAAACTTAGGATTAATTATTTCAGTGGCAAGATATCAACAAGTAACTTCAGAATTTTTTTATGTTGTTATTTTAGAAGAATGATCCTAAACCAGCTTAATTTATTATATAATGAAATCTTCAAACATCATGCATTTTCTCTCATCTTGAAGTGAGCTAAAACATTCTACATTTTTGCAGTGCACAGTATTTGCTGAAATAAAAAACCCCAAACCCCAAAATCTAAATTGATCTGTGGCTGAGTGACTGAATAACGCTATAAGTGTATGTAGTGTTTTGCACTGGCTTTTCTAAATTTGTTTTCTCCTTTGTGGGAACAGCCTGCTCGATACGTACTGGTGCTTTAGACTGCTGAAATGCTACTTCAAAAAGGTATGACCTGTTTCACAGGTAGTAGATTAATTTTGTCAATTTTTTTCCATTCTTTTCTAAGTACTTTGGAATGTTTCAGCAACCACTCTTGGAGTTTTTGTGGCTGGACATAGGCTTGTGCTCTACGTTCTCAAAATGGGCTGGACAATCACTTATTTGCATCACTTTGTGATGTCATAAGATTTTAATTTTTTTTTTTTTAAATCTTTGTTGGCTACATGCAGCGTATGTCAGCTGGAACTGGGGCAGTATTTATCCAATATTTTCTTAGAAATTTCTTCTGTACAAAGGTAAATAAATGCATCTTCAAAGGGCTCAGACACTTTGCAGAAACTTCCATAAGTAGAGAAGGATTTATTTTCCTTACTCATCTGACAAACAGAAGAATTTTTTTTTTACTTCAAACTAAAACCCACACTCTAAATAGGATGAGACCAAATCTGATGAGGGTTGCCCCCAAGAGCAGAGGAAAGATGGCCTGCTTACAAGGAGCACTGCTGTTTACACTTCTTATACTACACTTTGCCAAAAAATTATAAGTCATCCTGAGAGACTGAGTGATTATACAGACTCTTTGTTATTTTAGAAGAGATACCAACTCATCTTCCTTAGGCCTTTCCATGTCTTTCACACTGAACTTTTGAACAAGACCCACTAGCTTTTAAGTCTAAACAATGGTACTTGTGATGACTTTTTACCAAAAAGCATAACTTCCTTAAATCCCATTAATGCAAATAGTGACTGGTAACGTCATCTTAGCGTACATAAGCAATCAACTTCATATTTATGTTAAAAAATATGATGGTTATTTGCTTTAGTGAAACAAAAGTTGTGCTGGACTCTCATAGCAAAGAGGTGGGAAAATACCCACTGACTACAAAGATGCAACTGATTGTTGACACTGGATGTACACTGTGAAGGAGCAAGGTTCAGGATGGGAACAGTTCCCAGGCATGGAGAAAAGCATACAGCAATTGGCAGGACTTTATTATATGGACCTTACAGTTATCATATGGACTTTACTGTTATTATGTGGTTTCATTGTATTCACACTACACAGTGCACAACCTGGTCGTGCCCAGGCTTGCCATGAGTTTGCCTGCTCCCTGCTTCCTCCACTCCTCCCCCTTTTGTCCATGTCCCTATCTTGGTTTGTTCCCCTGCTTGTCTGTCTCATGCTCCGCCCTATGTTCTGGCCCTTTCCCCGCCCAAGCTGACAAAAGACAGGGTGCACACGTGAATAGGGCATTCTACTTGCACCCTTCCTCGTGTCCGATCCCCTCTTCGGACCGCGGCAGTACACCTTGACAATTCCGACATTAATTCCAAAAAATAAGAAAATTGCTTCATCTGAATGGTTTTGGTTGCTTTTGTAATATTACTAACACATCTAAAAAATCCCATCTTCATTAAATCACTGACACTGGTTTTTCATTATATGTAACAAAAAGATCTAATGGCAGAGGTTGCTCCAAAACAAACAAGACAAATCTTCATGGAAAACGAACACAGCTCAAAAGCACCTACAAACAACCACCCTCTGTTTTTAACTCTTTGCTGCATTTCAGGAGCAAGAGAGTGAATAGTCTACGGCCTACAGTCCCATGACACATCTCATGATAATTCTCTGGCATTTAAACAAAACCATGGGACTACTGTCATTTACACCATGGGGCTGCACTGCAGCAGGATGAATGCACTCACCGTGGTGGTCAGCAGTGAAGTGGGGAAGGGCAGTCATGCACCTCTTGCTAACACAACTGGATGGTACTGTGTTAGTGTTATTTATTAGCTGCATGACAGTAGGCTACCACTGAGAAAGCTCCTTTTTCCCAAATGTGACCTTTCCCATCTTTTTTCTCTTTCCTGCCAAATGGGAAATGCTCTTCCAGCACTGTACAAACTCTGCTCCCTGTGTTGGTGTCATGTACAATATTTCATACATATAATATTTCATATACAAATCAAGAAAGTATGTCACAGCATACTACATAGTATTTCCCATGCCAGTTTGCCTCTATAACAGACAGCAGAGCAAACAGACAGGGCTACAGTTAAAAAAAAAAAAAAGTTTTCCTACATCCCCTTTCACTTAATTTATCTTTTCTGAATATTGCATTTAGAAAAATAACAAATCCTTGCATAGAATACTCATTGGCTGCAAAACCCAGGATTAACTTCTTTATTTAGTGTAATCTTACAATTTTTCTAGAGCCTTGGCCAGAAAACAAGAATTATTCCTGGCTTTCTCACTTCTGCTACTAGTTGTCCCTTTTTTACACTCATTTAACAAATCTGTATAATGCCAAGCACCATTAAGGCCTTGACTTTAGAGAAGTTTTAAATCAATATTATCAAACGGTAACAAATTGATAATCTCAATTTGTTGTTTCAGAATTACACATCTTATCTTACATGCAAAGTAGATGTAAAATGGGTAAAAGCTTTTTGACTTTAAAAAGTCGGAGATATTTGCCACATACAAATAAGGGTGACAGGAAAGTTGCTGTTTCTTTCAATGACACACATGAATTTTGTCCCTGCCATACATTGGTACTTTCCCTTTTGTTATCTGAGAAACCCCACTAAAACAGCTGAAATTACTTTTTCATCTCTGTAAGAGACTTTCAAACACCACAATGATCTATCAATAATTTGCCTGGATGTGGTGTGATGGTGTAGGAAAAAACAGAGTGAAACATTCAGATACTAATGTGATTAAATACATGCAGAAACAGACCTTAATCCTTTTGTGATAGCAAAGTCCTTCTGATAAAAAGACTGAGCAAAGCTGGGAGAAAAAAATAATAAATATTTGCAGAACATAGTGAGCTTATTGACATGACAGTCTCAGACCTAATGAAATTCATACAAAGTATTTCACTTCTACATTTGTGTCAGAGACCTCACTAAACTTGCTAGGACAATGCAGATCTTTTTGTCCGTGAAAGAAATCATGGATACCATTTTAATATAATATGCATCAGAAGAACAATTTGAAATTCTTAATTAGTCTCAAAATTGAGATATTTTGGAGACTCAGTGAGATACAAGCCCCCCGATTTGATTAGGAATGTTAAAGTAATTCTAGCAACTGAATAGAAAGATGAGAAAGGACTGTGATGCTGAGAAGAAGAGACTGAGCAATGTGCAAAACACAAGGAGAAAAGGCAACACAGCAAAGAGCGAAAGAATAAATACTACTTTGTACTGCACACGCTCTCTACGTACTGGCCAAGTTACTCTGCTGGGGTGACCTACAGGTTACTGAGTTCATTTAGCGTGGATGTAACTAATGACAACTTTTATATTAAACAAAGAAACATAGAAAAGAAGGATTTGGCATCACAGATTTAAAACTGACGTCTACAAAAACCAAAGTTGATTACTGTTTGAGTTCACAAAAACCATTTAGAATTTTTCACTATAGTTATTAAACTCATAATAGCTGTGCTTGTGCAAGAGATAATTACCTGAAGCTAATAAAAATCATGTGCTTTCTGCCAGAAGTCAGTTGCTCAAAATGCAAAACTCAAAGGGTTTTTTTTCCCTTCCTTACCTTTTATTCAAGTGTCCAAATTGCCTAAGCATATTATAAGTTTTTAAATTTCATGTGTAGGATCCAAGATATGAAATAATTTCAGTCAAAATAGAGAATACACTGACAAACGTTTAATTTAGTAAAGCAATTTTAGATGCTTTTCTTCGCCCCTCTTTTTTTTAAAGTACGGAAGTGACATTTTATGGATCACAGTTGTAACAATTAAAAGGAGAAAACCCCTTCTGGACTTACAAAAGCAAGTGGCCTGGCTTAAACATTCACAGAAGTGTCTCACAGACATATTTGAAGAATAAATTTAGTGCTCTCAGTGGTGATTTAGAAAAAAGAAAACTGATACAACTGTAGAGAAAAACCTAAAAGCACAATGATTTCAAGTAGCAAGGTAAGGTTAAGATCCTTTTTAAGTTCTAAGAGGAAGGACAGAGTTCTTCTAATAATCCAAATCACAATTTTTCTTAATACAGAATAATTTAAATAATCTGACCTGTACTTGTGTGTTAGCCTTCCATACTAGCAGCAATCAGTCAGAGCTGTAACACACTTCAGGCCCCAGTTCAAGAAGCAATTCTCAATCATGCATGTGGCTCAATAATTTATATATTATTTCCCACTGATGCTGGAGATAACTGACTGGGCCTTCACAATCTACTTAAGGCTCAGAACAAGTCAGGCTCATGCTCAGTGAGTTGGGGACACAATGTCATCATCCGTCTCTACCACAACCATGCTGTGCTCAAATATTTAACCAGGGGAACCTTCTCAGCCATCTCCTGCAGCTCTCTAAGAGCTTTAGGGTGTCCCAGCTACTTCCAGCTACTTAGTCAGGTCTGCCTTTATTATAGAGGAGTAGCAACTACAGTGGTGACTTAGCTAAAAGTTGTAATGGGGACTGGAAGAAACACAAATTATTATGAAATGTGTATGTATATTTTTTAATAGATAGCTTGGAACTGAGGCAAGATTAAAAAAAAATTAGCAGCATACTCTACCAAAATAGAGAGACCAGTGATAGGATCTAACCTGCAAATGACTCTAAGAAAAAAAGACAGAAAAAGCCATCAGAATCCTGGTTTCAAAACCAAGTTTGGGGAAGTAAATAGGAGAAATAACAGCAAAAATGATTATTCAATGTCTACTAATTATTACATTACTATTATTAAACACATTATTAAAATTCTATCATTAAATAGCTACACTTGATAGTTACAGTACAGCTGTTACTGGCTTTTTAAAATCAAGAAATGGCATGAGGCATTTTTCTCCCTTCATATACACATGCACAAATTATAGCCTAACTTTGATAAGGAAGTTTCCTTCAATTGTCAAGAATATCCTTGAAAATAGTTAAAAAATATTAAAAATTAATTATAAATGTAATTTACCAACCTTTTTGTAGTTCATTATGTTTCCTTTTCCTTGTGCCTTAAAAAGAAAGAGATTTTATATAAGACATCATATACTACAAACTAGAGTTGCAAGAATAAAGAATGCAATTAAAAGAGCTACTACTTTAAACATAACCGACTTTCTTTAGGAATCTGATACAGAAAACCTTAAAATACAACTAAATGTGTTACCAGCTTATACAACATGGTTCTTTTTCAGATGAGAGCTGCAGATACTTAATGTAATTTTTAGGCTTTTTTACTATGACTTGCAGTTAAACATTTGTTGAATCCAAAATGTTTTGGTCTTAAGAGATCTTGCTGTTTGCATTTATTAATCTCTCCCATGAGATTTTGAAATAAGCTATACTCCATATCAGCAATAACAGGACTTATTTTCTTAAAAGAGAACTCTGTATATCTATAGTGATTTGCACTAGGTAATAGTCTAGAGCTTTCGAAAGGGGATGTTGGATGCTGTCAGCGCTCTTACACCTGGGTTAGAAGTGCTTTTTGGTTTAGAATTGTATTTAAGCATCAGCATCACTCTTTTAGTGAGAGAGAGAGAGACATACAACCTGTAACTCCTAATACTTTCAGAAAGAAATATGAATAAACTTTACATTTCTTCTTGCCCAGATGCAGGCAAGTATACAGTAGACCCTGAGACAGCTCAGTTACTTAGAGCATGGTGCTAATAACACCCAAGGTTGTGGGTTTGATCCCCGTACAGGCCATTCACTTAAGAGTTGGACTCTATAATCCTTGTGGGTCCCTTCCAACTCGGAATACATTGATCCTGATGAATATTTACAGAGATCCAACTTCCTCAATTTTGTTACAGGATGATGTAGACAAGAAGATGTCTTTCTCACTCAGTGGCACCGCTCTGACAGAACCAGAGCATTCCCGCTTAACCACTCTGAAAGCCCTTCCCTGAGGTCAGATCCAGTGTCATTATCACTTCATTCAACCACAGCTCTTCTTTTTTCAGGCACATTAAAGAAAAAAAATCACCTGTTTCTTTCCCTCTAGCTTCCACAACAAAAGATCACAAATCTCAGTTTTCCTGGAATGTGCCTCCTGAAAAGATGTAGTTTAGGACCACTACCCCTCCATGTCCTCTGTGGGCACTTGAGAGATCAGCCAAAAGGAGCAGACCAACAGGCACAAGGAGAAGAGCTGAGGCCCACACTGAAGAGCAACACTACGTGGCAAGCACAGCTTTAAAGAGATGTTGCCAAGATGGCACAGATTTGGAAAATAAATTAATTTTTGTACAGGAGGAAAAATAAAATAGAGAAAAGAACCCTCGAGAGACTAAACAAACGGAAAATGAAGGAAAACAGTAGATAACAGAGCTGATTCCTCTGAAGGAGAAAGGTGACTGATCCACCAAATCTCTTTGCTTCTCTCTTTAATCTTCTCAAGAGGCAGCTTTTCCAGAATGCATATTAAGAAAACAGCCTGATAGAACTTGGGAGTAGCAAAACTACTGCCAATAACTGCTTCCTTATTTGTGTATTCCCATCACTTTGATTTGCCAACTTTTATTCACCCGGTTGGATCTTTCAGCTTCTTCAAAATATATCTAGTAGTTATATTGTATATCAGTACACACCAGAAGCATGTTCCTTAACAAGTTATTGGTTATATGCAGATTCACACTGCAGCAGAGAATCTGACAACATTTTTTTGGAAGATGTTTTTTGGTCTCAGCAATACCAGAAGAGGTGTCCTCACCCTGCCTTCCCCTGCTCTTATTACCAACAACAAGAATATTTCTGTGATCTGTTTCTGTCAAGCATTCAAGTCAATGGCAGTTGTGCTTCTCCAAGCAGCAACCTTACCCAATCTGTCTCTTAAGCCTTCTTTACTACAACTGCATAGCTGTACTAACTTTGCTTTTTACTTTTTTTTTTGTTTTTTACCCTCACAGTAGTTTGACTCTGACTTTTTCTGACCCTCATCTCAGACACATAGAACTTTTTTACCTTTTACATCAGACTTGCTCAACCGGTTAAGCTTCTGACGTGGACTGAGTGGACTGCATGTGCTTTAGCTATTTAAACCATACAAATGACATTGCGCAAGAGGGTGGCTTATGAGCACTGCCAATATGATGAAGTCTCTGGTTTGAGTGCTTGGCCAACACCGAATGTCACATAGTGAAAGTGACTATGGATGACATCTCAAAGAGCTTGTAGTTAATGAAAGATAATTTTCCTTTCTAAACCAACACAAGTGAAGAAAGGCTCCTGAGCGAGATATTCTATGTTGTAGTGAGTAGTTAGCTGAGTAGTATAGTAAATACCATGTATAAAGTATACATATGTATATGTATAAATGTATGAAGTAGCAGTAGATAGGAAATACTTCCGCATAGTACATGTCACTTTGCACCCCAGCTTCCTTCACAAAGAACTGCTTCGTTGTTTCTATAATGCCCATTTTTGGTATGGAAATTTAGTAAGCAGACAGACAGCACTCCTGGAGTCCTGCAACCTCCTCCAGATTCTGCAGATGGGAAATTGTTTCAAAGCTTTTATACACCGTGCTGTGGAAATACCATTATTCTCCAACTGCAATAATCCAAATCCATTTACATTCAACTCACATATGGGCCTTGTGTTGTGACTGTAGGATTCCAAAATTCTTTGTCATGCATTGTGAACTACCAGCCCCTAACTTCAAAATGACAATAGGTTTGCTTCACTTTAAGATTCCCCAACTCCATACCACTGTACAGCTGTAGATTCTGCATATACTTCCCAGAATTTTACTGCTGAAGAGACTATGCCCCTTGCTTTCATTATGTGAAGGTAGGCTGCAACCTGGCCATCATGAATGCAGAATGAGGCAAAGGTTCAGACTCCATGCCCTGTACCCAAGAGTCTTGCTTTTAAACCAGCAAGGAAAGGAGCCATTCAGCCAACACATCTTGAATGAACATGCTTGCACAGAGCCAACTTCTTATTGAAGGCAGCAGCCTTTTTAACAAAAAATCCATGTAACTACAAGCAGGAATTTCCAAATGGCAGTCACGACTGTTGTTGAGACAGACAAAACATGTCCAATTGATGAGTGTTTAATTTTGGCCATTTTAGCGCTTTCCCTTCCTTTCCCTTCTTGCTGCCTTCTACAGTTACCTATTTGTGTTTCAGAAACACCAAAGAAGCTATTCATGGACCTGATTCCTGCTGTGGTACAAGACAGCTACCACGTAGCTATCTTATTGCCTTCCTCATCTAAGGGTTAGAGGAAAAAAATAGCTGAATAAGAAAACAAAGAATAAGGATATCAGATAGCTAGATCTCACAAATATTTTGTAGCAGTCTAAAAGCCAAGTCCCCCAAATCTTTCTCCCTTCATCCAAAATTAGTGCTCCCAGAGTCAAGTTGGCAGAAGGAAACATGTACCTACCTTTCAAGCACTGTGATTGTTGAAGTTCTTTGCTTTAAGTTGCCAGTGAAAGTAGCTTTAAACTAAGATGTGGGACAGCACAAGTGTTGCAGAGGAACAGACATAAGCTCCACATAAATGAATCTGTTTGTTACACTGACACACAGAAGTTTGACAGAGCTTGACTGTCAGGTCCCTAGATTTCCCCCACCTCTTGAAAGCATGGAAGAGAGAGATAGTAAGCATTGGAGAGCATAGGTAAACCTGTTGTTAATTTCTAAGTTTCTTTGAAGATTAAAAGTACAGATAGGAAGAGATAAACAGCAAAACCAGGAAATTCTAAACGATGCTTTAATTTACCTCTCTAATCTGCTTAATCCATGCCTCCCTTCCAAGGAATTCCTGATGAAGGATTGCAGGAGCAGAATTCAAACTGAAGGCCATTGTGTCACTCGAACTTTCTTTAACAAATGGTTGAAGGTCTGAATGTAGCTGAAAGAGAAGAACACATTTCTTCAGTTCCAAGGAACAGTCTACATATCCACCCACGCACCAAACTGAGGTCCATATCCTGATTCTACACCTACTAAGCACTTTCTGCTTTGACACTTGTACTTTGTTTGCACTTTTTCAAGTTTGAGGGAGAGACAGAAAGATGTTGTGAAACCACTGCAGTGGTGGAAAGCCATGGTAAAGAGAAGCATGTATAGAGTCTGCAAAGACATGGGTAAAGGACAGCTTACAGAGCTGGGCAAGCCATAGGACATAGCCATGTAGGAAGCTGTGGAGTGTCAGGAAACATGAAAAATATAAATGATCCAGTCTTTGCTGGGAAGAAGATCAGTTTTTAATCTGTGTAGGGTAATACATTCTACTTTACAGTACCTGAGGAAGCCGATGCAGTATGACCTTCCTTCTGACAAAGGAAATGCTACATAGCTAGGAGCTTTCTATGAAAATTATGCAATCCTTTATACACAACTATGTGTCAATAGTGAATACATTAATATTAAAGCATTCACAAAACATTAAGGCTATAGCTGCACTACAAGCAATTTTCTGGTAGAATTGTACCTAGTAATAGCATACAGTGGCATTTCTATGGCAGTAAAACTGTGTTTTATGAAACCACTTCCTTCTCCTGTAGGAACTAGAAACTATCTAAATCAACTCTGCTGAAGTACATGAGAGGCCTGTCTGCCTGTTTCAAGCTACGGCTAACTTTGCAAGTGGTGCAGTACAACAGGAACAGATCTTTAGGGCAAAACAAGAGTGCCAAGGATCTGAGTTCCCCACTGTCTGTTTTCCTTTGGACTAGCTGTAGCTGCAGACTGAAAGTCTTCTAGTGGAGGTCAGAAACCTTCTGTGGGAAATCCTACTACTGTAAAGGTGTGGGCTGCTCCTGTCCAGATCTGGTGGCCTCCCTCCTTATTCTCAAGCTGCCCCCTCTGGAAGTTACCTCCACAGCAGGTTATTCAGAAGGGAATGCAAGCAGGTCCTTCTGCCACTGCAGCTCGTGCCTCAGCCCACGTGCTGCTGCAGGCAGTTGAGCCTCACAGTACAAATCTCTGCATGGTGGCAGTCAAGATCCAACACATCATGTACAGACTGGGAAACAAGAGGCTGGAGATCAGCACTGTGGAAAGGGACCTGGGTGTTCTACGGCAAGTTGAATATGAGTCAGCAGTACCCTGGCAGCCAGGAGGGTCAACCGTGCCCAGGGGGGCATCAGGCAAAGCATCACCAGCTGGTCAAAGGAGGTGATTGTCCCGCTCTGCTCTGCAGTGGTGCAGCCTCATGTTGAATAGTGTATGCAGTTTTGGGCATCACAACATCAGAAAGACATAAAGCTATTAGAGAGATTCCAAAGGTGGGCAACGAAGACGGTGAAAAGCCTTGAGGGGAAGCCGCGTGAGAAGCGGCTGAGGTCACTTGGTCTGTTCAGCCTGAAGGAGAGGAGACCTCATTGCAGTCTACAACTTCCTCATGAGGGGAAGTGGAGGTGCAGGCACTGATCTCTTCTGTCTGGCAATCAGTGACAGGACTCAAGGGAATGTCCTGAAGGGGAGGTTTAAATTGGATTTTATGGAATGGTTCTTCACCCACAGAGTGGTTGGGCACTGGAGCAGGATCCTCAGGGAAGTGGTCGTGGCACCAAGCCTGACAGAGTTCAAGATGTGTTTGGACAATGCTCTCAGGCACATGGTAGTATTCTGGAGGTTGTTCTGTGCAGAGCCAGGAGTTAGACTCAGTGATCCTTGTGAGTCCCTTCCAGCTCAGGAAGCTATGACATGCTTCCTTCTGCAACTTTTGCTACTGGGATTGTGGCTTTAGGAAGAATGTAGGAGCATGTAAGGCAAAGTTTTAAGCTGCTGCAGAAAGATGTGCTAGAGGGACATTAACAGAAGCTTGAATGTAATGAGTTACTTTGCCAGGAGTGTGATTTTGCCAGTTCACAAGCACTGTTCATACCAGCAGTTTCCGCAAACATCTTCACACCAGGCAGCAGTTAAATCTCTCAACAATGACCTGTTGGCAAAAGTCTACAGCATAATGGCAGTATATAACAGAGCTCAAGATCAACACATCTTACAAGCCTTGCTGTATTTAAGATCTCAGAACTTAAGGAAAAAGCATACCTTATGACTCATAGACATATGCTTCCCATACTGAAATGCCACGTCCTGAATCTCAGTGCTGTGCTTTGCTAGCTCCATTGCAGCCTGGCAGCTCTTTGCCAGCAAGGCACTATGTGACAGGAAAACCTGCTCCTTCCACCGAGATATGCCAATATCATCTGTAAGACAGTTCTCCTGAAAATGAAACAAAGACTAACATGAAAATACCAAAACACACCAAAACTGCAGATGTGTCAGCTCACAGACATGAACAGTGTGGCACAGGTGAGTAATGTGGTAAGTAACAAAACAAACAAAACTCTGGGTGCCATGATGTCAAATAAAGATAGGTAGTTTTTAGGGATGGTTAGAGAAAAGTATCAGAATAAATATACTGGCAACATTAATAGCTAACTACATCCCTCATGAGGGACCGGGGAGTTAAAAAAACACAAACAAAACTCCAAAACAACAATAACAAAACAAATCCCAAAAGTAAAACCCCCCAGAGTACACCTACACTTCAGCCCCTTACCAGTTACCAAGAACCAATAATCCCAAACAAACTTGAGAAGTCCCTACAATTTCTCCTTTGTGGTCAAGAAAAAAATGCATTACAAAAGGTATTAAATATCCTTATAGACTGCATTGGAAAAATGAAGGGCTGCAATGGATGACTTGTACCTCTTCTACTCCCATATTAAGGATGGGGAATGACTGAATGTATTAACGTTGCGATTTAGGAATGTCAGGTATTAACTTTCTCAGGGGCTGACAGAGATCTCAATGATGCCTCTATTGAACTTTATCACCTTGACTATAAGGTCAGAAATGGTCAACCATTCTCAAAACCTTTTATATCCAAAATATTAATTTGGATTACTTTTCACAAAGTATTTTTTAATTAACACAAATAAAATACTTTCTCCCCAAACCCAAATTCAACTGCCATTTCTTAGACTTATAAGGTGTTAATATAGCACTATTTCACTAATGGGTCTTCAAAGATAGACATGACTTTCATCTGTCTCACATACATGATACTGTCACACCTTTAGGTACTCTCTAAAGAGAGGAAAAAACAAAAGACCAAAACCTGAAAAGACCACAGTTGTTTTACATAGAAAAAAATAAAATTAGCAATGAGAAGCAACAGAAAAAAAATTTCAAGCATATAAATTTTGTAGTTTTTCAGTTCAGCTAAATCTGTAGCATACATTAAGCCAAAAGATATTCTTTAAAAGAGTAATAAAAAAAACCCTTTTATATAACAAGCTTTTTCCCTCAAAGTGATGTCAATTAAATTAGAAATGAGCAAGAAGTAATTCTGTGTGACCCTATAGTTTTCTAGCAAGGTATTATCTGTCATGAAATCAGTAACAAATGAAATAGAATCCATCCGTTCAGCTCTAATTTTCCTCCCTTATGGATATCACCCAGAAGTGCTCTGTTACAAGGGAGAGGATAATTTGAGACTAATGGAAGAAGTAGGAGAATTCTGCAACGCCAAGTAACACAGAGCTGTATCAAAATGTCTTTGCTTTCAGACATACTATTAAGTTATACAAGGAAAGTGAAGAACAGAGAAACCACATGTTTGCTATTATGCATATGACAACTTACAAAGTCAAGCCTAAACTTTCCTACTGTATTTTTGTTTTAATATCTTAACTCATCCCAGAGCATCTGCAAATTCCCATGACTGGCAAAATGTCAAAATGAGCATTTAATTCAAGTAGTTCCGCATATATCAAGTCTCTTTTTTCCACTCAGATATAGATCAATTTATTTGAAATTTAAAATCGGGAGTTCTTGGAAGACGAAACACAATCTTTTCCTTAACAACCAATCTGCTCAGTGAAAAAACAGTGTTTACTAAAATTCGCTGGATGATATTGAAAATTGGCAGTGATTTTTATAATCATTTGTTTTGAATCCAAATAAGACAAAAATACTCTAGAAAAGTACCCGGAAACAATTTTGAAGTTAAAAAAAAATATCTTTCAGAAGACCCCTAACTTGAAAATATTTGCTTGCTGGAGCCTTTAAGCAGCAAGAAAAATGCAGACATTATCAAATATCAGCTACGGGAACTGAAGAAGCTTAAACAATTATTGCAACTCAACATATACAAGGAAATTAATTCTATGATTTGTTACAAAATTATATTCTTATACAAGTTTGAATTTCATAACCGGATTGACAATGATGGCACAAAAAGTTACTGTCCACTAGATGAACATCATGTAGAAGCTTCAAGCATCTAAAATGCGCATCTAACTTAAAAAAAAAAAAAAGGCAAGAATTGGACACATATTTGAAGATACAGTATTGGAATCTTAAAAAACATAACTACTGTAAATCCCTGGGTTACAGAAACAAGCCAGTTGTAAAAAGGTACTATGTCCATATGGATGTGCCTTAGCATATGAACTTGTATGACAGAATAGAGCCGATTTTAATCACAGAACCTCTTATGACCACACCCCCCTAAATCTTCTGTTGCTTAAGAAGGCAGACACAACCTTTCCTCAGCAAAGTTTTTCAAATATGTAATTTTTTCCCAATATGAACTCATATTGTACACAGAGTGTCCACACTACATTCATACAAAGGTATGTAGGACAAGATCTAAACACTATTGTAAAAACATCAAGGGAAAACCAAAACTAGTTCTAGATTGCAAAAGCTGTAAAATCTGACATCATGACAGTGCTTACTACTTTTAGAGAAATTTTCACTGCTTTTTAAGCTTTGTTTTCTTTTGTCAGCATTGGGTATAAAAGTGGACATTAACATGCTCAGAAGACTCCTTAGTCCTTCATATAAAAGCCTTTTCTAACTCAAATTAATTCCAGTTGTAGTTGACAGTGCTCAGACAATTGATTAACTAATGCCTGGGATCTCATTCACAAGTTCTGTTACCCAGAAATTGGTCCAGATCACAACCATTCCTGATGCTGTCTGGGTGGCAGAAGCTGGAAGAAGGGAGCCAAACCCTTCACCATCACCTGAAGAAAACAGCCAACTCCAGATACAGTTTGCACAATGTCAGCATGGGGATACAGGGAAGATATACAAATCCAACTCTGTCAATCATCATTTCCTATGGGAAATAAAGAACAGCTGAGGGTGCTCCTATTTTACTATCAGCAATGTCGGTTACTGTTTTGTTAGAAATTGTCTAGTTGAGATTTTTTTTTTAATTAAGCTACTTCCATAATTTTAAACTGTGTTTGAAACAATCCTCTCAGGAAACAAAAAACTTTTAGAAAATGAAACTGCAGGACAAAATATGCAAACATAACCATCAGGAAGGGCAGCTTTTAGCAAGGGCAACAAAGATCCCCAATACAAAAGCAGCACTTAACTCAGTCTGATTTATCACACCAAAGAAGATGCTCATATGTGGTTCAGCTGAAAACATATTAAGGAAACATGCATGAAAAACCTGTCTTCAAAGTGCAAAAACCCATTTGCAAAACCAGGAAGAAGTAGAAGTCAGAGACTCTTTGATGTAAAACTTCAGCTACAGTTTATAAGGGAAAACTTAATTTATTTCCATACCATGGCAGCTCTTTCTTAGCCATCTGCTGTTGCACAAAATGATTGAAATGTCTGAATCACTTATATCAAACTTTAGTTTAGTTCTCAATGGGCAAATAATCTGCAGAAACACACGGAAATAATTTTAAATTGCATATTCAAGTTTTAAATTAGGTAGTTCAAGGACTTCTATTTTACATAAATAAAATCCAATGCAACTGTGAATCATTCTACCAGTAGCAAGACCCTGCAAAACATCTTGCACATGGTTCACATAAACTTTCAACAGATGTATTCATGCTTGCTGAACACGACAGGGCATGTTTTATTGGTCTATTAATACACGTCTTCACTGCTTTTGGAGGAACAAGGGTGTCTGTAAATAAGTCAACAAAGCGTGCCACCAACTACTTCTATCATGACACCAAAAAAAACCCACATGACTTAAAAAAATTTTAAAAACTTATAATAAATTTAAATCTCTTCACATCTGTTATTTTAAATCTCTCTGGAAAAGCTTAGTATTTAAAAGAAAAAAGCAGTAAACAAACAGTGTTGGCCTTCTTCCTAGCTATGCTTTTTTCCCCTCTGACACATTTATCCATTCTTTTCACAGATGCTCTCTACTCAAATTCCATATTTTATCCTTCCCTTTTGTCTTGCAACAGAAGCATTTGTTTAAAAAAAGTGAAAACTCTGACTGCTGCACTGCTAAAAGGTGATTTATATTGCATTTGGTTTACTTCCTTTGGTAAAATTATAAACTAATCCTTAACTTTTAACACACTCATAGCAGTCCAGTTGATGGACATGTGCAGTATTCCAAAACATTACTTCTCAAAGCAGGGCTGGTGACCAAACATCAAAGAACTGGTACCACTCGCTACATGTAGTCTGTCCTTCCCCAGAAAACACATTTATTAGAAATACCTATTAATTCAATATTTGATAAAATGAGTACTTCCCACTAATGTATTTCTTTTTAAACTTGTTTTACATATTAATTGTGCACAATTTTCACACTATTGCATCAAAAACACCAAACAGCTTTTCTGGTCATCAGTGGAACACGATGGAAATGGTTTTGTCTTACATAATATCCCATTCTGACACTAACAGGAGTTCTGGCAATGCACAGTTAGCATCAGCTAGATACTCTGGAGATGAGAAAAAAAAGAAACCAAAAACCAACCAAGTGATTTCCCATGAGAGTCCCTAAGTTTTAAGATTGCAAGAATGGTCCGGCAGGTAAAGCACAAGAGTCAAGACTCAAGTCCCACTCTTGATTCCGCAGTTTGACCTTGAACTTCCCTGTATATCTTGTCCTTGTTCAGTGGACTGACAAGGATATTAAAGTAACCTTCATTAATATTTGTGAAATGATCCGGAATATTAAAACATAATATTTTTTAAAGTACAACAGTACTCTCTGAGTTAGCAAACATTTTAGAAGCCTTCAGTCTCCTAAAAGTTGGAAACAGAGACTCAGAGTAATGGGTTTTTTTTCTGCTAAAAATAGATGCCACAATCAAGACTGAAGGCCAGATAAGACAACTTTGACCTTTTCATTCACTAAGGCACAAATTTTTACTCCCAAATTAGACCTAGATTCAGGAAAGGCAGATGGGACTGGGCAGAATGTCCTTTACTTGCAGAATTTTGGCCTAAGATGGAATTTAGAGCACTGAGCTGTAAAGGTTTATCATATCACCCCTTTCTGCTCCAACTCACAGTCCAAAATATTAGCTTAATATTGATAATGCAACATCTTAACTTACAGCAGATGTTTATTTACTTTGAACATGACTGACAACCTCAACCTCGAGGCTCTGTCAAAGCCTCCACCTTGTAGTTTGAACTGCAATTTTAAATAAAGATGAAAAGTTAAATATTAGCACTTTTTCCTGCCAGTTTCACACAGATCTAATGACTTACTATGCAGACGAGATGAAGAACAACCAAACAGAATGTACTAAAATGAGACAGTTGTAGGATTGCACGTGGTTGTGCAGAGGAAAAAAAGAAAGTGGTAATGAGCACTGTCAAATAATTATATCCATTATATATCTTCAGGGGTAAATAAGGTCAGTCTTGCTAGGTCAAATAATTCTTTCAACTCTCCTATTGGGTCATCCAAGAAGACAAACTTCTTTTTGATAAACACAAGCTTAGGATCTCAGAGGAAAAAGGTTCATTTTGCAGAGTATTTTTGTATACCATCTAGGTAGACATTCAGCAAAACTCAAAATACCTTGGTGCTAAATTAGTGTATTTTATGGTACTGAAGAGCTTTATGACAACTGCATTAAAGACATTTAACATATGAAATACAGTTTTCCTGCCTAAAAATGGAGGGAGGGGGAAAAGGTGAGAAGATATCTTTCTGCTTTTCCAAATTTAAGACATCCTCAGCAATGAATATTCCTTTACTAACATCCCTATGCCCTACTCCTAAAAAGAAAAAAAGTTTGACATTTGAGATTTAGATATGGAGCAGATTAAAGCATTTGACTTACCTCTAGGAAATGTAGTTCACATTTTTGATTCAATCAAATTGCAATCAGAGAAGGAGGGAAGATGCACAAGGGATACAAATAAGACAAACAACTGATCTAGTACATTTGGCAGTCTTTGCTAAAGAGATGTTCAGGACATGAACAGGACACTGCCTCAGCAGAAAAATGTGAAGAAAGCAATAGGGATAGGTCTATTACACAACATGGAACTAAATTTCCCAGCCAACAAGATAAAAAAAAAATTAAAGTAGATCCCACACTTTGTTGTAGGTCTAATTGGAAGCCAAGCACTATCCATTATAAAGACTAAACTTCAGACACTGTCATGTAAATTTCTCTGTTATGCCACCATACTAATTGCGTTTTGAGTTAACTGGGTTCCCCTTAGGAAGGCTACAGTGTACTTTCAACTCTCCTTGGAAATAGTCACTGAAACAAAATAAGTCTTGGCTATTTGTAATTGGGCCAGGGCAAGGTAAATATCATACAGCTCCACTTAGTTTATCTCACACTTGCCCTTGCAATCCACACATGAGGGGTGCTTTAGTAAGGCAGCAGAAAATAAACAGAAAAAGAATAACTAAGAAAGAGAAAATTAATATCTTCTGCAGTCACAGAAACCCAAGAGTCCACAACATTTCTCATTTATACAGGGGCCATGGTTAAAATAAAATGCAGTTCCATCGCTGAGATCAACCTATTGAGATTTATTTCTAGACATAATAGAGTAGGTTGGTGTTTTTTAAATATTCCTGTGATCTACTTGTATTTAGAAACCTGCTTGAATACGGAAAATTGTAAACATTCTTTCCAAAAATTTTAAAGATGTTGTCCATTTTAACATATAACCTTTAGCACACTCCTTGGGAGCAACAATGAAGGCTGAAGTTGGTTTATCCTCAGGTAAAACACAGCAGATGCAGAAGCACGGCCAAGTTCCTAACATTGCACTCCTGCCATGCTTCCACCCAGGGCCCCCTCCTGAGAGGTGCCAGAGGATGCTGGGCACATGCCATCCTCTGTGCAGAACCCAGTGAGTCGTGAGCCCCAGGCAGCTCCTGAGTGTGCCATTACTGCTGTCCTGCTGGAGGCTCTCCCTCAGCTTTGTGATTGTTTCAATCAAAATGAGAGGGACACATTTGAATAAGGTTAGTTTTAGTGACATGTCTTTGCTACTACAGAGCAGCAGAGACAGACACTGACCAAGGGAGCACCCTCTGGAGCCCAGCCGCTGATAGGCACTGTCACTCTCCACTTGCCCACAGTGGTTTGGTTGAGGCAGGGGCATCAGGGCAGGCATCTACTGTAGCAGTAACCCACGAGATCAGGGCTTTCACTATTAAGATATTAATTTTGCTACATAATACAACTAAGCAATAGCAAACCAGAACTGCAATTTAAGTACGCAATACCTACTGGACTGTAAGATGCAGGTCTTCAAGGCAAACCAGAAGCATGAGACAACGCCACTACAAGTGAATCTACCTACCTCAGTGGATTTCAAGACTGATATTCACATATACACAGTGCTCATCAGTGACTAAAGAGTTGCTACCATAAAACCTGTAGAGTCACGGCAACTTCAAATTGTTGACTTTATTGCATGTGTTAAGACACGGTCATAGTAAATCAAAGAAAGAACTTTTTTTTTCGCCCAAGCAAGCCTACTTCATGAATGCTCTATAGAAGTTTCTTTAAATACTCCAGTAAAGACAATACATGCATGGTGACTTCTGGTAAAGAAGAATACACTGCTACACTCCTAACACTTTAGGACAAAACTCAGAAGAAAGGACATGATATAAGTTCAGGATGAAGCATTTTGTAAACATCTTTGGGCTTAGAAATGACAGGTTTGACATGAAAATATTAATGATGTTGACAACATTATAATAAATGCCTCTAATAGAACCTTGACTAGAAACCTCTGGAAGTGTTTGGAAAGACTGTAGTAAGATGTGTCTAGAGCGCCTGGTAACGACACAACATTATTTTATTAAGCACTCACAGAAATAAAATAGTCCCTCCTTGGGCATTTCTGGAAAATTCCATCAGAGCTTACAGGTGTCATAACGATGACATTCACTAGGACTACAACTAATTCTCTTCCTCCTTCTCCCTTCTTTTAAACAGATGAGAAAGTAATCATGTTTATTGTAGTCACACATTAATATCGCAAAATGCCTTGGGTATATAAATCTACTGAAATTCTTACCTCAGATGATTTTAAGTTTTCATAATATATACCTTGAACTAAGTCACCAATAGCACTTGAAATGAGTTCCACAACCTGTAAAAGAAAAGCAGAAAAAACCTTACATCTTTAATTATCACCAAATTCGCTAACAAAGCTACTGCCAGATTTCCAGAGAGACAAACCACAATAACATTCCTTGCAGAAAGCTAGTTGTGAAAGACTGCAGGATTTACTAAGATTTGTTCTGCACAAGCATGATGCTCTGCCTCTGCTAAAACCTCTACAACAGTAACTCTTCTATCAAAGTTTTAAGTTAATATAAATGAAAAGCAAGACTTGTTTTTCCTAAAGTGTGAACTATGGAGTGTATTCTCAAAAGGACATTCACAGAACTAATAAATCCCAGTTCATGAATATGAGACAGTACCTCATCTGGGCTTTGCTTTGTTTTGTTTTTTTTCCTGCCAAGTAAATACTTCACAATACCTCTCCTTGGGAGCTGTTAAAATTCTAATCTTCGTGGCTAACACAGAAAAGTCAGAATCCATAGAAAGGTAACCTTTCAAATGTGATCATTTGGTATTCGTGTGCCCTGGGAATGCACTGTGGATGTATTTAGTGCATGGCCTGAGGCTCAGCTGTACCACATACACTGAAAGTCTGCAACACAGGAATGTTTAAATCAGATTTATCAATCTGCATTATCTTCAGGGTTCAGACTTTTTATTTTATTCAAGCGAAGCCTAAAAATCTGAACTTGATCCAGAATGTAAAACAAGCAGTCCACGGTCTCCCTGAGACTGTGGAACTACTGTACAATTTAAAGTTGTGCACATGAACTGTCTTAATTGGAACAAAATACTCAGATTTATTGTAAAATTAAATGCAGGCATTTCAAATAAGCACACCTTAAGGCTACCTCTTCGGTTGCTCACAAAGTTTTAATTTCTTGAATGTTTAATTTCCTATGCATATGAGTCTATATCTGATTCCTCTTTTTGCTTCCTAAAATTCAACATAGCTCTTATTGAATTAAAAGATTTAGTTTCAATTTTTATCATTCCTGTAACTGAAGACAAGAAGTCAAATGATAAACCCCCTAACGGAAAGATATTCTAACATTTAGGCATGCTTTATTTGATAATAAAAACACATTTGTATGCTAGTTTTGAGCACTAGCAGAAAGGTTGTGTTTTCTTTTTTTTTTTTAAACACTGGTTCATATACATATTCATATACACACAGCAAGTGCTAACTTTAGAAATGGTGCTGATTAAAAGTCATGTTTTTTCTTGCAATGCATATGGGTTAATTTGCAAGACCTACAAAAACAGCCTGGGAAAAAAAAAAATCACATCGCCCTTTAGGAAATTAGATACCGAAGAAATATTGTAGCAATATGAGCTGCTAAGGAACTGAAAGGACAATGATTCTACAGTGTTACCAGATGTGTTGAGTTATTTAAGGGGAACAGAGAAAATGAGGGCCTTTTTTTTTTTTTTAAGCAACACCCCCCCCCATTTTTTTTTAAGGTATCAGATAAGCCTTATTCCCAAATCCAGGAGGACTGAGTATCGCCAATAGGTCTATGAAAGTCTGTAACTAAATGCCCAGGATCAGATTGTATTACAGTTTATACAAGCAACATCCCAAGATTCTTCTGATGGCTAGGACACATAATACAGATCAATCACTCACTAAAAAATGTTATGGTTTGTGAAATGGTCTGAGCTCAGAGACCTACACTGGTAATACGAAGAGGAATTTACAAAGACACTGAGTCCTACTCTAAATGTCAAAGTGATAGTATGAACTTTTAACAATGCAGCTGGCTCTGGATAACTAGACCTTTTCCTCTCTAGCCTGAAACTCTAGACTGAGCAGAACCCTGTTTTGGGGTTTCTTTTTTCCATCTCTCCTCCCTCTTTTTAGTGCAACTCTACTCTCAAAGGCAATTTTAAATGTCTTAAAACAAGCTTGGTGAAACATTTGTGAACAACTGTACCTCCTCCTCTTACGAGTTTATAAAACATCTAAGGAGAATTACACATCAGCTATTTAGAAGAATCCTTATATTAAATATCATTAGGCCTTTAGTGATACATTGAACACTGTATGTTAGTGAGAACTTAATACTAATATTAACTCCCTTCTTTCCAAATATATACATATATATCTTAAAGAATATTTTTTAAGGTAAATGTAAAGCCATACAGTTTACTACCAGGAATGAAATTCTAGTTTCAAGAGCACAGTGGGATGCTTGCATGAGGCTCTGTTACCTCACCAATCCTTAATCTGATCTATGAAAAGCAGCTCAACATCTGTGGCCTGGGGTCCTGAGCACTGGGGAAAGAAACGAGAAATGAGGGAACTAGGCAATTTTCCTCTGTATCCCAAAATGGCATAGAGGAAGAAAAAATATTACAGATTCAGTAGTATTCATTCAATGATACACTGTCTAGTTCTTATGTAGCACTTTTCATCACAAAATTTGAAAGCAATCAACATCCCTGTAAAATATATTCCCTACTGTTTTATATAAGGGGGAAATAGTGACAATGAACCGCTTTTCCACAAAACCATGCAGCATGCCAGTTGAAGAGCACAAAACAGTATTGAAGTTATCCCCAGTCTCATCGGTGCCTTTTTACCTGACGAATTCCCTGTTCCACTTCCTGGTATTTCTGAGAAGCAAGTCTGAGAAGCAGGAAAGGTAGATGAAAAAAGAAGTGCTCTCAACTGCTTCTCTTCTCATTTGAACGTTGAGCTCCATTTTAAACAAGTTCAGAGATGGGGAAAGAGAAGAAAGGATCACCAGAATTAGTGCTTGAAAATAGCAGCAACTCAAAAGAGACCAAAGGCAGGTTATCTATAATCTCTCTTCCCACTATTTTCTACTACTCTACATGTTTTTGAGAAGCCTGGTTCCTCATGTGTACTCGAGATGAACAGGAGTAACATCACATTGAGAGAAAACAAACTTACACTCTATTTTTCATTTTCCACTCTGCATCAGTCTCTTCCAAAGCGCTGTGTTTTCTGCTCCCCCCAGAGCGTCCACAGGGCTGGGAGTGGACCAGGGGATGACCCATTACTTGCAGGTGATAAGTGCACACGCAAGTGATTTCACACCCTTTAAACACCTCTTGTAACAGTTTTGCCAGTGTATCTTTTTGTTTTCCCCTAAGGAGGTATTACTTCAACACCTTTCTAGGGATATGATCTATTTTGCTTTTAAACAGTCAACATAAAGGCCATCAATTTAGGATGAATACAGGGGAAAGAGATGGATTGTTAAGGCTAAAATCTCTCCTACTATCTAGGCAGACTAAGCGTATAACATGATGTAAATTCTAGATACAACCACTTGACTGCTCATTCCATAGCAAGGTAGAATACATGCTCTGACCTCTCCAATTCATTCAAATATGAAATAGTCCAAAAGACTGTGCTATGTTTCAGTGTCAGAAGAGTTCTGTAGGTTTAAAGATCAGAAATTTGGTGAAACTTAATTAACCCTTTTCTGGGGTAAAGTCTACTTTCTCAAGCTCAGAATTTCTAAATATTAATTGAAGAAATAAATCAAAATGTTGGTAATTCACTTAGCTGTTCAGAAAATTACTCAGGACATTCAACCAACTACATACCTCCCTCCTTTTCCAGAAATCAGAATTTCATGTAGTTTACTGAGGACCTCTCTATAAGATAATTCAGAGTTCAGAATTCATCATACATGATGACATAGAACAGGGCCATATTCAGTGTTGCAGGTACAGCATCCCAGTTCATGCAGGGACTGCAGTTAATTGTCCTGCAAAAATCAAACTCTATCTATAGAAAAAGAGGCATATTTTAATTAAAGGGAAACTTTATGCTAGAAAGACTGCAGGGAAATCACAGAATATAAGACATTTTGGTAGAATACTTTCTTTGAAGTTAAAAGATAAGATTCAGACTCCATCAAGCACAGTAAAAAGAATGGATTCTAGGCCCCACTCATCCTTCGTGGGATTTCTAAATAACCTGGATGAAAGGACAACATTGATGCTATCAGTTTAGTAACTCGAGCACTTTGTTCCCTTCACTTGCCTTCAAAATATTTTCTTTTAAAAGTTTACTGCAATGTAACTCTGCATATGTATCTTTTCCTGGTTTTCCTTCTAATTTTTAAAAAAGGAATGAATTTGAGTTCCATTCAAAGAATGGTCAATTTATTTTAAATTCAGCAGCTGAAGTAGAATTGATTACACAGATCACTCTATTTCAGAGTAGTAATACAGTGTCTCTCCAGACTCTATCGGATATTTTCAAGGGGAACATCATGGAAAGGATGAAGCTCTTGCAGGAAGACAGGAAACAGCACTAGGAAGAACACAGCAATGGGTATATCTTTGTTCTTCATCCCTCATGATTTCTATTTGACAAACTTCCTTAGCTTTGCCAAATTCCTTCCAAGAAGGACCACAAGTAATTCCTTCCATGCTTATGTTGAAACTATATCCTTTCCTCACACATCTGCTATGACAGACCCTAATACTTGTTGCTGATATGTAGACTTGAAAATATTGCGAGATTTCCCCATACGAGTAAAGAAGAAAATTAGTCAGGAAACATTAAATACACAGACAAAAATTCCTTCAACTTGAATCTCACTTCCGTCTGCAAACAAGCACTTAGTTGGGAAATATTTCCACTCTTAAAAATTATACAGAAAGCTCTTAAAATTAAATATTCTCCTGCATTTGACACAGAAACATTGCAACACCCGAAATTGGATTTCAATTAATCAATAATACCTTAAAAAAAATTAAAAAGGGGGGGAGCAAAAACTGAAAGGAGTTCCAAGAACAGTGGAATTCAATTTTCTTTCCTGGTAATCTCAAACATCATTAGTCATACAGGGGTATGACTAAGTGTGCCAGCCTACAGAATGTTTTGGGGTTTTTAAATCTAATGTTTAATGAATCCTATTGAATTTACTATTTGAAATCATCTTGAGCTTTACTATTTTTTGAAGCTGGCCCTCTCTTAGTTGAAACACACAGAAAGGACTCCTTACAATGATTTGCTTTCTAGCATGTTTTAAGTGG